TGCACACGGGTTGAAGAGTGGAGGCGACACCAACCCCTCACCCCTGGCAAAACCCTTGCCAGCTCTTCCTCAAGGAAGTGAACCAAACCTGGGAAAGATAAACTGCTAGCCAGATTTTGGCACCCAGGAAAACACCCTCCTCTTTTCTCTATGGTGGTCCAACACCTGACTCCTTGCCTTCCAGGACTGTTAGCTGAAACTGGTCATCCACTGGCACTACCATGCCAGTTTGGGTTCTGGGCAATATTAGAAAACAGTGATCATGACAAACATGGCCCTTGACCTCAAGCAACTCGGGGTCTAATGGAGACAGAATATACTAGGAATGAGAAAGGAGTACACCAGAAGGTGACTAGCAGCACTACGGAGGAAAAAATCCCCAGATGAGGGCAGAAAGCGCAGGACTGGAACCAGTGAGAGTTGGTATCTCACATGAAAGGGTAAGGACAAAGAGCATACTGAAAAACAAATATTTAGTCTTTGTCACCCAGCACAAAGCTCTAAATCCCTTGGAATTCACTGTCTTGCCTCAGGTTCAATCCCCAGCACCGCAAAAAAAAAAAAAAAGCTCAGCAGGCACAGCTGTAGACAGGCACCTACCCCAGCTCAGCTAGTGAAGGCAGCAGTGTCAAGCCAGGGACAGCTGAGGACTGTGTGAGTAGCTAGTATGAGAGTTCAAAATGTTTTCCCATTATTGATAAAGACATACTACATGAGCAGATGATAATTTAAACAATCATCAAGAATTAAAAACAGGAACAGCAAAAAGGGATTCGGAGGTAGTGAGGTGGGTGCTTTCTGGAAAGCACTTTTCATTCTGAAACTTCTTTGTGCCTGGATTTGTTACCATCTGCAAGGATTCATTTGTTCTTTTAAAAAATTTAAACACACACATAAAGAGGCTCTGAACAAAATATTTTATGCATAACATGAAAGGACTTTGTTTCAGCTTCTCATGCATTTCTCCCTTTCCTCAGGTTTCCCACCTGCGCTGCTGGAGGCTGACCTTGGTGAGAGGCTGCACTAGAGTCAAAGACGACTGAAGTGCTGATCACCTAAGAAGCATGCTTCTGAGTGAATCCTCAAGAGGGAAGTGGATCCTTCTTCAGTAGCAGACAGAAATAAGTCCTTGATTTTTTATTTATTTTTTTTTAGAGAGAGAGAGAGAGAATTTTTTAATATTTATTTTTCAGTTTTCGGTGGACACAACATCTTTATTTTTATTTTATGTGGTGCTGAGGATCAAACCCAGCGCCCCGCGCATGCCGGGCGAGCGCACTACCGCTTGAGCCAAATCCCCAGTCCAGTCCTTGATTTTTTAATAATTCGTTCTCATCCTAGCCCTACAGAAAACCTTTTTTGGGGGGTGGGTTGCAGTACTGGGGATTGAACCCAGGGGCACATTTTTTTTAGAGACAGGGTCTTGCTCAGTTGCTTAGGGCTTCCCTAAGTTGCTGAGGCTGGCTTTGAACTCATGATCCTCCAGCCTCAACCTCCCAAACAGCTGGGATTACAGGTATGAGCCACCACACTCAGCTAGAATCTTTTCCTAGAAAGCACTAAATAGCTCTGACCACCATAATGAAGAAGAAAGTGTCATCTAGACACAATTAAGAGAATATGAAGCAGCTCTCAGCTCTATGCATGTAGTACACATCTATTTTAATGTCCATCTTAAACACTTGATATTATTAGACATCAAAGCACAATTAAACAGGTGTGTGAACTGTGAAAGAAGGGGCCTGCACGGGTCACTACTGCAGTCACCCTGCTTTGACTACCCCCTAGTCCTGGAGCCACAAGCATCAGTCATGAACTCAGAAGTCTCTCCATCCTGCTGAAGCAGAAGCAAACTTCAGAATAAAGAAGCTTCGTGACAATGACCACCAGACACCATCCATCAGCTTTAACTGAATGCAAGAGATGAGACCCATCCATTCACCCAATCAGAAAGGAAAAATGTATGATGGAAAAAACAGGGGAAGTAACTAAAGATTAGAAGACTAACTCAATCCAATGCCAAAAAATATATTTCAGGAATTTTCTTAAAGCGTCAAGAAATCAAAGAAAAAAAACATCATATAAAGTTCTCACCTTTGCTGTACCAGTCTGGGAACCATAGAAAATCTTCACTCCAGATACAAAGATGTGCTTCTTTGGAAGGGAGGCATAATCATTTGTCATCAGATCCTGAGCTGCTTCTGGAATAGATCTCTCCTGTGAATTTTTGCCCTTGAAAATAAACAAATGCACAAAATCCATTAGGCTTCAATCTCTTCCCAACTTCAGTATGGATCAAGATTAACACAGCACAGCTATTAACCCTCTTCATTATTTTCTTAATCTTTCTGGTTGTACTCCTCAAGTATTAACCTCTTGGTATATCTAGGTCCTTTAAAGACAACATCTTTTTTTTTTTTTTTTTTTGGTACTGGGGATTGAACTCAAGGGCACTCAACCACTGAGCCACATCCCCAGCCCTATTTTGTATTTTACTTAGAGATAAGGTCTCACTGAGTTGCTTAGCACCTCACTTTTGCTGAGGCTAGTTTTGAACTCACGATTCTCCTGCCTCAGCCTCTCAAGCTGCTGGGATTACAGGCATGCACCACTGTGTCCGGCAAGACCTTTATTTTTTAAGACTATAATGATTCCCATTCCCTCAAGGGTAAAGCAGGTATGAAAGGGTAAAACTGTGAAAGAAGGGGCCTGCACGGGTCACTACTACAGTCATCCTGATATCTTGAGGGGACCTGGTTGCGGGAGCCCTTGTCAATACCACAATCCAAGGATGCTCAAAACTCTTACGCAAAATGGGTTAGTACTTGCATATAACAAAGCACATCCTCCCATATGCTCTAAACCATCTTTAGATTACTTATAATACCCAATACAACATAAATATTGTATAAGTAGCAGTTACACTGTTTTGTTTAGGGAACAAGACAAGGAACAATGTCTGTATAAGTTCAGGAGACAAGTTGGGAGTTCCCCAAGTATTTTCAATCTGTAATTGGGTTAATCCTATAGAACCCAGAAGGCCAACCATGCATACTTTCCTCTGCAATGTGTTTTATTGGAATAACAGTGGAAACATTTTTTTGATCCTTCATTAGTGGAATGCAAAAAGAGGACTACTGCTGCTTAAAAGTACAAAACATTTTTGTTTTTCTTATAAAAGATTTTTTATAAGAAATTTTTCAGGGGCTGGGGATGTGGCTCAAGCGGTAGCACGCTCGCCTGGCATGCGTGCGGCCCGGGTTCGATCCTCAGCACCACATACCAACAAAAATGTTGTGTCCAATGATAACTAAAAAATAAATATTAAAAAAAAAAAAAAGAAAAGAAATTTTTCATTACTAACATCTTCCTGTAGCTGGGTTTGATGGCACAGTCCTATAATTCCAGGGACTGGGGACAGAAGGTAGTTGGGGCAAGAGGATCACAAGTTAGAGGCCAGCTTCAGCCATTTAGTGAGATCTGCCTCAAAATTAAAGTACAAAGGACTGGGGATGCAGCTCAGTGGTAAAGTGCCTCTTGGTTCAATCCCCAGTACCCCAAAAAATAAGCAAATAAATAAAGATCTGCTGTATCTAACTCAGATAATAGAATAATAACTTATTCTCTAAAAACTTCAAGAAAAAGATTGTGAAGCTATTAGAAAATAATAATGAGACCGGAAGCTCTTTGGCTGGCATGCACTACTAGGCCCAGGATGCAGTCTCCAGCAAACACACACACAACACACTAGAGATCAAACATGAAAATGATTCAAAATTACTTTTAGATTTTCTGCATTTCTTCTGAAAGGCTTGGAAAATCTGCACTCTAAATTCTCTGTAAAATCTGATACCTAAATATTATATTAAAAGGAAGGGAAAAGAAAACCTGCTCGACTCACCTGTTTCTTTTTTTTTTTTTTAGGTATTTATTTATTTTAGTTGTAGTCTGACACAATACCTTGACTTTATTTATTTTTATGTATTGCTGAGGATCGAACCCAGGGCCCTGTGCTAGGCGAGCGCTCCACCGCTGAGCCCCAGCTCCGGCCCCTTACCTGCTTCTTGATGAGAATCTGGACACAGATCCAAAGGCTGATGCCGAAAGCAAAGCCCAAATAAAGGTAAAACCTGTGCATCCACAAGGACAGCAGAGGCGAGGAGAGGTCCCAGGCGGCCAGAGGGCGATCTAAATTCAGAACGACACGTTAGCCATGCTACTTAAAGCTGCAAGAGAAACACCCCCAAAGCCAGCCCCCAGGTTCACGTAGGGGACCTGCTGGAACAGCCCCGCAGACAGCGCCCACCGCGGCAGGCAAGACCACCGAGAGCCAGATCCGGCGCCAGGAGGCGACCCGGCGGCGAGGCCCGCGAACCGTGCGCAGCCAGTCCCCGCCTCGGGCCCCAGGCGCGCGCCGCCGCCGAGGGCTCGCGTCAGGCCTCGCCGCGCGCGGAGGGGACGCGAGGAGCGCCCCGAGCTTCGGCCGGGCACGACCCCCAAGGACCCCTCCTCCGGGTCCTGAACGTGGGGCGGCGAGGCCGTGCCTTTCCGCCTCGGAAGCGGATGCCGGGACCTCGCCCCCAGCCTCCAAGGGCAGAAGCGGGTCGAGCGTCGCGGCCACCGGGATCGCCTTCGGGGGCAAGGCCAGGAGATCCGCCCGCCTCCTCACGCCTCGCCGCGCCGGGCCTCACCCATGCTCCTCGGAGCCCAGGCCCTCAGGCCCGGAAACAGCTGTTCCTCAGCGGCCGCGAAGGCCAGAACTTGCAGCCCGGGGACAGGCCATGCCTCTCGCAGCCGCGCGGGACCTCTCCAGAGCGAAAGAGGCGGGGCGAGAGAGGACTCCAGACACGCCGGACCCTGCCTGGATTGGCTCAGAAAGGAAAGGGGCGGGCCCAGCGGAAGCACCGCCCAGCGCTCTGAGCCGGCGCGCTTTCCTCGTCTTGCTTGTATTGGCTCAGAGGGGAAGGGCTCGAGGGGGGAGCACCGCCCAGCGCGCTAGGCAAAAGGGCCCGGGCCAGCGCTGCCAGTGGTGCTCGGATTGGCTGAGGAGGAAGAGGAGAACCCAGAAAGAAGCACCAATCAAAACACTAGGCAGCTAAGTTCGGCTGGGAACGCGGCGGGGGGAGAACTAGGGGAGGAGTATTAAAAGACTGGCGTGTGTTGATGTTTGGGTCTCAGTTCCGTGACTGTTACAAGGTGCTGAGCAATCGTGGTTAATGTCGTTGGACGTACTGTTAAAGTACCTGCTTCACTATTTAAGGCTAAAATCATGGGATGATTTGTCTTAAAATACTTGACCAAAAAATGAAGAATAGGAAATAAAAGAAGGAAAAGTGTTGCCAAAAATGAAATAGGGACGATAGGAGTTCATTGCTTTTTTTTTAGTCTCTATTGTTTGGTAATTTTTCCCTTTAGGCTAGGAGTGTAGAACGCTTGCCTAGCGTGCGCAAGGACCTGGGTTCGATGTCCAGCATGGAAAAGAAAACAACCTGAATAAGTTAAAGTGGACGTGACCCCGGAACTCTGCGGTACTCTGCAACAATGGTGCTGCATTTCCATCCGGTCTCTAAACTTCAGCCACAGACCTAACAGCTCTTCTCACTCGCTGACGTAAACCGCGTCGTAAAAAGCCGCAAAGCGCAGGTGTGGTAGCTCGCGTCCCGGCCGGAAGCGCCGGCCGGACGCCTGCGCAGTGCATCTGCAAGGTGCGCAGTGCGTCTGCGAGGTGCGCAGTGGCAGTCGCTTGCGGGCCTAACCCGGTGGCTGTAGTTAGGGTTACGCGCGCCTGGGGTCGTTGGAGTTGGGCGCCAGTGGCCGCGAGGCACAGAGCCCTGGTTCCCCGGCCGCGATCTGTGAGCGGCCACCATGTCTATCTTCACCCCCACCAACCAGATCCGCCTGACCAACGTGGCGGTGGTTCGCATGAAGCGCGCAGGCAAGCGCTTCGAGATCGCCTGCTACAAGAACAAGGTGGTGGGCTGGCGCAGCGGCGTGTGAGTGAGCCCGGCTCCCCGGCGGGTCGCGGGGTGGGTGGGCAGGGGCCGCGTCCTCCAGGGCGTGCCCAGGCGGCACTGCGGGCGAGTCCAGGCTGTGAGCGGCCTCTCCCGCCCTCCCTAGGGAGAAAGACCTGGACGAGGTCCTGCAGACGCACTCCGTGTTCGTGAACGTCTCCAAAGGCCAGGTCGCTAAGAAGGAAGACCTCATCAGTGCCTTCGGCACCGACGATCAAACGGAAATCTGCAAGCAGGTGGGTCCCCGGGGCCAGACTCCCGCGGCAGTCCCTAGGCCAGGTACTCGGAGGGGTGCCCAGCGTTAGCGTTGCTGTCTTTAAAGGGAAAGGTTGCGCACAAGAACGTGGGTCGCAGGCCGTCGCTGTGTTCAGTGCTGGGCATTGAACCCAGGGGCGCTCTCCTACCCAGCTGCATCCACCGCATTTTTTGTTTTTGAGATAGGGTCTTGCTGAGTTGCTGAGGTTGGCCTGAAAATGTGGTCCTCCTCCCTCGGCCTCCCAAGCCCCCGGGTTACAGGTGTGTACCACCACATTCACTGCCTTTTTGTTGAGACAGGATCTCACTTGCTCAGGTTGGCCTTAAGATCCTTCTGCCTCAGTTTCCCACGTTCCTGGGATTACAGGTGTGCCCCGCTGCACCTGGAACTCGTTTTTAGTAATACAGAATGGGAATGCTTTTTGCCAGAAGTTCCAAAAATTAGGTATTGTGATAATTCCCTCATTTTGCCCAGTTATTTATTTTTTTCAAATGTGGCAGGCCTGAAATATCGAATTTTTTCTACGAGATTGCCCTTTTCTATTTCTCTACCCTGTCCTAAATAAGTGAGCACACCTTGAAATCCAGTGTATGGTTAGGCAAAGCTCAAATCAATTCCTGAATATCAGCTGGAGAAGATGAAATTCAATGTTATTAATTCTTTTTTTAAGAGGGTTTTTTTAAATATGTTTTTTTTTTTTTTTTTTTTTTTTTTTTTGGTTTTAGGTGGACACAATATCTTTATTTTTATTTTTATGTGGTGCTGAGAATTCAACCCAGTGCCTCATGCATGCTAGGCAAGCGCCGCTACCATTTGAGCCACATCTCCAGTCCCAATGTTATTAATTCTTGTGGTCAGTTAACAAAGAGTGTGCAGTAAAGAAAGATATCCCTTTTCTCCCCTCTTCCCAGTACTCAGGACCTGGTACATGCCACTGAGCAGTCCCTGCTCACGACCCCCACCCCTGTTTTTTTTGAGTTAAGAGTCCCACTAAGTGCCCTGACAGACCTCAAGCTTGGACTCAGCTTCCTAGTAGCTGGGATTACATCATGCCTAGCTTGCTTTCTTAAACTTGTTTTATTTTTAGATTTTGACTAAAGGAGAGGTTCAGGTATCTGATAAAGAAAGGCACACACAGCTGGAGCAGATGTTTAGGGACATTGCAACCATCGTGGCAGACAAGTGTGTCAACCCGGAAACAAAGAGACCTTACACTGTTATCCTTATTGAGAGAGCCATGAAGGACATCCACTATTCAGTCAAGCCCAATAAGAGTACAAAACAGCAGGTAAGGAGGGGCTTGGTTTGGTTTTGCTGTGCTGGGGTGGAACCCAGGACCTGTGTGTGGTAAGCAAGTGCTCTACTACTGAGCCACATCCTAATTCTCAAGTGAGTGGTTTTTAAAGTCAAGACTTGTATCCATGGATGTTATTTTCCCTAAAGAGATCATTAAAACACTGGGGCTGCGTGGAAGTCGCTGAATAGGAGGTTAAATGGGGTGGAGGGGAACAGGGATTGGGGTTACACAAGAGGTAATTTGTTTAAACAAACACACAGGACTCTTTTCTTCCTGTCCAAATCACACCTTTAAAGACAAAACTTGGATTTTTAAAGGGTTGTTTTTAACTCTTCTTTTTTAGATTTTATGTTTATATGTAATTTGTACACCATAAAAGTCATCCTTTTTAGATTGTGCAATTCAGCTTTACAGAACTTTAGTACCTTTCTTGATGCTCTATTTGAGAACATTTTCATCACACCCTTAAGAAAAATTTTGTGTTAGACAGCAGTCATTCCCTATGTCCCATGCCCCACAAGCCACTGGCCACCACTGTCAACTTTGTCTCCCTGGACTTAGCTGTTCTGAACATTTCAAAATAAATGGAATCATGCACTGTGTGGCCTTCCCAAGGTTCTTCTATGTTGTAGTATGGATCAGAACTTCATGGGAATTGTACAGGAATATCACATTTTATCTATCAGGTGGCAGACGTTGGGTTCACTCTACCGCTGAGACGTTTCTTTATGGATTCTTTTATTGACAAAAGAGTTCTTTAGTGATCCTGGATACTGGTCCTTTTAACACATGTAGGTTTGGAAATATTTTCTCCCACTTTTTTCAATTTCTAGGTATTGTTTTTTGAAACAGAATTTTTATTTTGATAATGTGCAGTTTTTCTCTTCTGTAGTCATATTTTTCCTGTCATAGCCAAGAAACCTTTGCCTACGCGGTCAATGAAAGCTTCCTTGTTTTTGAATACTGGTGGGTGGTGCCACAGCAAAAGTAAAGAAATGAAATTTGTCCTGACAGGCTTTAGAAGTGATAAAGCAGCTGAAGGAAAAGATGAAGATTGAACGTGCTCACATGAGGCTCCGGTTCATTCTTCCAGTGAATGAAGGGAAGAAGCTCAAGGACAAGCTTAAGCCGTTGATCAAGGTTATAGAAAGCGAAGACTATAGCCAGCAGCTAGAAATTGTGAGATTTGGATATTCTTGTTTCCTTGCTTTATGATACCAACATAGTGTATTTTCTAGCATAAATGTGTAGTAAATACACATTTCCAGAAGTATCATAATCTTAGAATTAACATATGAAGGTTTAAGTAGAAATTTATATGGATAAGCAGTTACAATTTTATGTATATATGTGTGTGTGTGTGTGTGTGTGTGTTTAAGTTGTAGTTGGACACAATACCTTTATTTTTATTTATTTATTTATTCATTTATTTATTTATGGTACTGAGGATCAAATCCAGTGCCTCACATGTGCCAGGCAAATGTTGTACCACTAAGCAACAACCACAGCCCACAATTTTTGTTTTTAAATTGTTCAAGATAATATCCATCATGTTCAACTTTAATGAGAAAACGTGTTTTACAGTGAATCTTCTCTTATGGGCCAAAGAGAAATTAGACTAAAAGTTGGTCCGCCTTGTGCACCACAGAACATTTTAGGGTTGTGGGGTTGCCTTGCACATCAGAAGGCAAGTGCTCGCTCTGCTGCTGACCGTATCCCCCTCCACCACAGGACAGGTGGATACTGAGCAGGCCCGCTGCTGCCTACCTGCTGCTTGTCTGTGGCACACAGAACTGTAGTGCCTCCTTGTCCTGAAGGAGATGAGTGAGTGACTCTGTTGGGTTGCTTGTCTTCATGTGCTAAACAGCTGTGTTGACCGTTTCAGGTGTGTCTGATTGACCCAGGCTGCTTCCGGGAAATTGATGAGCTAATAAAAAAGGAAACAAAGGGCAAAGGTTCTTTGGAAGTTCTCAATTTGAAAGACGTGGAAGAAGGAGATGAGAAGTTTGAATGACATTCCTCAGTCTCTTCAGCTATAAAACACTAAAAGGAGATGTTTCTGTTTCTGGTAGCACTGTTCAATTTCTGTGATTTGCCAAAAAAAGTGATCAATTTGACATTTCTGTCTTGTGTTCATGTGTGCATAAAAAGACTTCCTACATGAGGATAATGTGGGAATGACTTTGTTTTAATTTTAAACAGGTGTTCTAAACACAAATGAAAACTCAAAAGTACCAAGTCCAGAGGGTCATTTTGCTGCTGTCTCAGGCCTTTATGGCACTCCAAAATGAAAGCTTCCTGAGACAACTCTTGTGGCTAAAAGGTTAAGTTTTGTATATTATATAAGTAAGATTATTGGGAAATATGTCTGTATGTTAAAAAGGAGTATTTACTGGAAAAGAAAACGTGTAATACAGCCTGTAGGGGTAAGTATCGTGTCAGTCAAGCTTGGATGACGACGTCCTGATTATCTGAAATGGGCATGTGGTGGCTGTAGGACTGAATGATGGTCATTGAATATGCTGCCAAAACTCAGATTGTCCTTGGTAAACTATAAAGTCATTCGTTTCTAATTCTTAAAGCTATATAATATATATTAATACAGCTAAAATTATATGTGATCAATAAACTACTACTATTTTTATTAAACTGGCTTGTGTTTGTAGACAGCTTGCTAACTCCTTTTCTCCACCTACAGTAGGGTTGGAAGTTGTCAGGAGAATTAAATAAGCTGGTGTTAATGAACATGCCTATCTGAAAAACACCAAATAAATCTTAATTTGGGAGATGTAATTGTTTTATTTTGTTGATAGCAGTTTTTATTTACACCCTTAAATCTGCTTATCGAAAAAGATGCATGAGGAGGGTGGGCTTGGTAATAGGGATTGAACCCAGGGGTGTTTAACCACTGAAGAACATCCACAGAACTTTTCATTTTTTATTTTTGAGTTGCTTAGGTCTCAATTACTGAGGCTGGCCTGGAACTTGGGATCTCCTGAGTGGCTGAGATTACAAATGTGTGCCACCATGTCCAAGTCTTCTGTTACTGGCAATGATTTATGTATTAAAACTTTAAGCTTTTGAAAGTCTGATGATTGTGTAATTATTATTACCTTTTAAAATTTTTGTTTCCCCAAGTGTCCCATTTAGCCAAAACAGTGTTAAACACCTCTAATCCAGTATCTGGGAGGCTGAAGCAGGAGGATCACAAGTATGAGACCAGTCACAACAACTTTGCTAGAGATGTAGCTCAATGGTAAAAATGGTGGAGTTCAATCCCCAGTACCAAAAAGAAAATACTGTTTATTTTAAAATGAAGTCAATTTTTTTCTAGTAGTACTAAAGGAAATACAGCATAGGAATGAACAATTTTGTGTCAACACTGAAATTGGACTGCTGCTTGACACTGCCCCAGGAAGTGCCCTTCACTGCCTCAGTTTTGCCTATTTGTTGGGATCTGTTCTGCTTGGTACTGGGGACCAAACTCAGGGCTTCATGCGTGCTAAGCATATGTCTGCCACTGACCTCCGCCCCAGTGTAATGTAAGCTCCAGGTCCCAGCGGGGTGTGCTGGCATGTACCCGTAGTCCCAGCTGCTCTGGAGGATGAGGTGGGAGGACCACTTGAGTCCATAAGCTTTAAGGCCTGACTGGGCAATATATCAAGACCCCATCTCAAAAAAAGCTGAAGTCCCGGGAGACAATTTTACAATGAAGTTCACACTCCTTCCAGCTAATTATACTGTTATTAACATGATGTTGCAGGTTAATAGTTAACTTAAAATGTTCAGTAGCCACATACTAGCATAGAAAAAATTAAAACAACATTGCCTTAAGTTTTTTGATTATTCCTCTCTTAGAAAACAAACTTCCAAGAAATGTTCAAATGTGGGCTGGGGTTGTGGCTCAGCGGTAAAGCGCTTGTCTAGCACATGCAAGGCCCTGGGTTTGATCCTCAACACCACATAAAAATAAATAAATGTATTGTGTCCAACTACAAATAAAAAATAAAAAGAAATGTCTAATGTGTATCACATCTGAGTCACGTTCCTGAACCTTTAAATTCTTTTCACTTTATACTGATCTCATTATTCAAAGTAGTTAACCATTTTGGCTCGTAATCATCTTCCCAGTACCATCATTAAAATGCACTGCCCTAAGGATTAACCATTGTATACCTTTGGTCTGAAGAATGCTTCAAAGTTAAGCATCTTCTATTAGAACAGCTCTCTGTGCTTCCCCTTATGCCTCATGCACAATTATTTGCTGTAGCATCTGGAACCCCTACCACATGAAAATCCCCTTGATTCCATTCATATCAAAGACACTGCTTAAGTATCTTCTGTTTTGAACTGTGAGCCCCTTTAAGGACAAAGGACAGACGTTATGTGTGCACTGCACCATGCTTGGGACATAGTTGATGTGGAACAAATGAATGTGTAGCTCAGGGAGGGGCCATGATACCAGGAGATGGATGCATGGTGAAAATTTTGCTGATAACTTTATTTCCAACTCCCCATTAGGGCTGGGATAGAGCTTTTGTGAGCTAAGCTAGAGCTTCCCATCTTCATGCCGAAAACCTCAAACATGATTTCAACCTGTACACTGCCCTCAAGCCTGCGTCATGAGATCCCTTGTAATTCTGGTAGTAATATTCTTCCTTACACTTTCTTGTATGCCTCCCTTACACTACTAGATTTCCAGGTCCTGTGCTGGCTCCTGCTGAGTGAACAGTGGGACTGGGTATGGACAAGTTGCTACTTGCAGCACTTAATGGTGAGCTGATGACAATCACTGATTCTCATCCTGATTTCCATTTCCAAATGTGTTTATCCATGACAGCACCTTTCAAATTAAGAGAATCTAAATATCACTTTATAGCATCAAAATTCTGAGATAAAATTATAATTCTGAGCCAAATCTTGATAAAACTGGATATCCAGCTCCTACCTGGGAATGACTTCACAACACTGAGCACACATAGCTGATTTGCCCAGGCACCCTCCCAAAAACCTCAGGAAAAATCAGTTTCACTGAATTCCAAACTGAATCTACAAATACTCCATTCCTCCCTGGCAGAGTGTGGAGGTGAAAGGCTGTGGAGGAAGGAGGAGAATCATGCTCACTGTAGAGGAGCAGGTTCCACCTCTTGTTATCTGCCAGGCCGTGGAATCTCAGGCTCCACTTAGCAGGCCACCGGGTGGCTCTCTGCTCCTGCGCAGAGATGCGTGTCAGGATGATGCTGCTGGGCTGACCAAGAGCTAGTTCCTTCCCATCAATGCAGACCCTCTGGGATCCAGAGTAGGAATATCTTACAAGCTGTCCAGGTAAAAGCAGTTTGTGTACTTATAGTTAAAACTGCAGATAGAAAGATTTGAGGCATATATTGACCTGAGTTAACATCAATAAAGTATTTCTTAATGAAATTTGTCTGCTTGTGTAAAACTTGAGTGATGACTGCCTCAGTTTCTCAGAGACAATGTGATTTTAAGGACCTCAGTGATTTTACTACACACATTGCCATAATTAACATTTCCAAAGAGCATGATTTTTGTTCTTTGCAGTGCTGATGACAGAACCCAGGAACTTGCACATGCTGGGCAAGCACTCTACCAGTGAAAGACATCCCTAGCCCTAAAATATTATTTTAAAAGGAATTATCACTGCAATTGTGATTTTTGCTTTGAAATACAAATAGTTAAAGGACATTATAGCTAGGAAAATAAATTGTTACGAAATCAAGTAAAAACAGGTCAATAGATTTTCTCCCTATGTTTCAGGGTGCAGCTTGAAATATCCATTCTTCCTCCTTCCCCATGATCATGCAAATGGCTTTATAAATAAGATAAATATAGATATAAATATATATATTTATAAAATACCACCAGAAGGCTATGTTTTTCTAGAGTAAAGAAATGCTCTGCCTTGACCTTTGGACACTGAGGAAGGCAGCTGACCAGAGCCATCCCCAAAGGACTCCAGCACGCAGGAGGCCCTACAGCCAGAAACAGCCAAGAAGAAAACTACACTGTCACCTGCGGGGACTTGCACAAGAGAACCATGCATAAAATGTCCCCGTGGAGAAACCCTGAGTAAACCTTCTAGCTTCACTTGCTCTTAGCTGACTTAAAAATCACTAACTTTTGCCAGGTGTGGTGATGCACACCTGTAATCCTAGAAGCTCAGGAGGCTGAGGCAAGAAGAACACAAGTTCAAAGTTTAGGTTGAAATCATGTTTGAGGTTTACGGCATGAAGATGGGAAGCTCTAGCTTAGCTCACAAAAGCTCTATCCCAGCCCTAATGGGGAGTTGGAAATAAAGTTATCAGACTCAACAACTTAGCGAGAGCCTGTCTCAAACAAAAAAAGGCTGGAAACGTAGCTCAGTGTTAAGCGCCCCTGGGTTCAATCCTAGTACCAAAAGACAGCCTGAACCCTGGAGGTCACCAGCTGGGCGTGCACGCTGGCCCCCCTGAGCCCTGCCACAGGCAGCACCGCTGATGGCTAGGCAGGGATAATCATCTCCTGAAGAGTGCTGTGGATGGACACCAACTCTTCCCTTGGGCCTGCAGGTGTCCAGCAAGGGGCTAGACAAGATGAAATACATGACCTCTCTGTCTTCACATCATGTCTGTCTCCTCTGATGCCTTGACCTTTGGTCAGTATCTGCTCGGCTTTGTGTACTGCCATGCTGCCCACCTGGGAGAGGCTTGGTCCAGACCACTTGGGTAGGCCCTGGGGTCACATCTTTTGTCCCTGTTCCTCATGCCCGCTCTGGTTGGCTCTGCCAAGCCTTCTGTCACAATGCACGGACTTACCTCAAGCCTAGAGCAATGGAGTTTTCTGACTGTACTGAGAATTTTCTTACTCTTAAGTTGTTTTCGTCAGGTATTCTGGTCACAGCAATGAAAAACTAGTGCGCGTACTGAGCTTGGAAGTTGATACTCACCCCATCCTCTAGATAAGAGACTAGCTCAGCTGATATCAGCCTTATGAGCTCCTGAGCAGAGAAACTCGGTCAAGCCCTTCTGGACTCTGGCCTACAGAACTGTGAGATAATAAATGGGTCTGGTTTCAAGCTGCTACAATAAAAATAAATAAATAAAAAGCTTTGTCCGACACTGTAATACAGGATTACCTCGACCCAGACTTACCCACTGTCATGCCCGGGAACACCAAAGCATGAAAGAAGTAAAAAGAGTTGGCACCCAATAGATGGTACCATCCACCCTTCCTGGAAGATCTCTGCCTATTCCCAGAAAACACACGAATGGGGATGGGGTGTGGCTCAGTGGTAGAGTGCTTGCCTAGCACACATGAGGCACTGGGTTCCATCCTCAGCACCACATAAAATAAATAAAATAAAGGTATTGTGTCCATCTAAAAAAAAAAAAAAAAAACACACCTAAGTGTTCTTCCCCTTTATTAGCCGCTCTCCATCTCCCATGATGTTCCTGTCCCTTATCTGTGGCCCCTCAACCCCTGAGCTGAGCAGCTGACTTTCCAGCAGAGCTCCCTTCTTTTCTCAGTTCTCTGGCCTCAGATGAAGCCTCTTTCTCCCACTCTCACCCTAGACACTGGTTTCTCCGGGGGACAGGTTCCTGTCTGGGACCTGGGATGTCCCTCAGAGGTTCCGTGTTTAAAGCTGGATCCCCAGCGGATGGCTGCTGGGAGATGGTGGGAATATCAGAAGGTGGGGTCTACTGGGAGGAAGTTGTCCCCAGGGGCATGACCAAGAGCCTGTTGAGACCCAGCCCTTGCTCTCTCTGCTCTCTGCTGCTGGCTGGCATGAGGAG